CTTTCTATGAGTTTGGCTGGTATATCCCAAAGGCGTCCCCTGTCTTGTCAGTGGCATGCCTACTCACCAACAACCCTCCCCCCATTTACTAAAATAACAAATTCAGTTGGTTAAACAAAAATTAAAGAGAAGCAGAAAATTTGGCAAAATGGTTAATTTATAACATACCAAACAAAATCGAACCATTTTATAACTTTTTCCTTGTCGGCCATATTGCTGACAAAGATGTATATAATCATGTGATAATTTTAACCTATAGGACAGAGGACTGATTGGGCAAAAACCCAATCCAGTCCCCTACCCAAAATTATAAATTTGTTAGTTAATATCAGAGAAACAGAGCGTTTAGGAAAATGATTATAAAAACAAACACTATTTTACAACTTCCCTCTTAACATCAGAGTCCAAATGCAATTTCAGGGCCACCAACCCTACTCTGAATTGTAACCTCCTGTGCTTGGAACAAGTTGCAGATTCTCGTTGCTTTGATGATCTGGATGTTTATGCGCACCTAATATCACAACTCTTCAAAATGTTGCAGAGTGGCAACAGCTTGGACACAGTGCCATCCTTACCCAGAGGTAGGATCGTTGCAGGCAACTTTTCGGCTAGCGTGCCAGCGGCCATCTCTGGACTGGTGCTGTGAGGGAAGATTAGTGAAAAGTGTCATTGACGATTGATGCAGTCTCAATAAACTCCAGGGCCCTGCGCCTCCCCCCTGGTATCGAAGGCATCATCATATCCATAGGGCGGAGCAGGTCAGATTAGTCTTGTGTACACGAGGAAGATGTGAGAATGACTGTAAAGTGTTCAAGGTAGCATGCATGCTTCAATGTCTGCCAATTTCCAATAATCAAACGTCGCTTACTCGAATTGTTTCTTTTTCAATTGTGCCGTCTTGACATCTTCTTGTGATTATAATAGTATAATAATATTATTAATATTATTGATTACGAAAAACAAAATATTATCAATGAAAATCTTGTAATTACCCAGCAAGATCTGCTCCGCGTTTTGATTCCAATTAAAATATTTATAATAACCAAAAATATCAATACAAATAAAAAAAGTACCTCTGGTTAGTTATTAACATGTTTTCTTTAGGAGATCCAAACCAAACCAAACAACAACGCTTACGTTTTGTCTGTCAAAAAATAAATTGTTTTTCCAAAAAAAAAAAATCAATTCGTGTCTGTCCTACCAAAAAAAAACCAATAGGATAAATAATTAGTGTGTACGCGTCAATTGTATCACAAACTTTTTTTTTTAAAAATGTCCTTCTCGATTAGAAAAAGAACCCGAGATAATTATTTAGAAGAAGAAAAAGAAGTAGCTCGGTAAGTGTTTTAAGGATGGTGGTGGTGGTTATTGCCTGCCACTCGTTGTCACTCTAGTTAATTATAAACTTTTTTTTTATTAGTGTAAATGAAAATGAAGATAAAGAAAACGACGAAGAAGTATTTATTTCAATAAATTATTATTTTAGTATTCAATATTGTAAACACTAATTCAACATAAAATAATTTTTATATACAATTATTCTCTGCACGAACAATCATCTTTAGAGTTGGAAAAGAAAAGTAGAAAAATTAGAATTGGAGGTGATGACACTAAAGAAAAAATTAAAAAGACTTGAGAAGGGTACAAGTAAAGATCTTGAATGTAAATATTGAGTTATACATTGAAGACTGATAAATATTCTGGTTCCTATTTGAGAAATATTTGATAATTATTCTTCTACTCCTTTTGTACTAAAGCGGCTGAAAAAGATATAAAGTATGATAATGTTGAGAATTTTCCAAAACAAAAAAGATCATTTCTCACAAATGCATTTTCAAATCAATTGTGTCCCTCAAGTTATGCAGACTTTAATAAATTTAAAGAATTTCAACAAAAACACAACTATCCAATATTATGCCATCGCCCTACAGGAACTTCTTCAATACCGGTCACACTCCTTCATCCAGCATTTGGCCAATTTGTCAGTGATTGCAAAAATCTCATTCCCACCTCAGATGATATTAAATTTGTTATAACTTTAAGTAAAAGAATGTCTTCCTTTTATGATAATGAAAATTTACGTGCGGAGGATTTTAGAACTTTAATTACAAAATACTGTGACCTAACCTTCGTGGCTTGTAAAATAGGCAGCAAATGTTATGTGACAGATGGTTCTTTAGTTACAGGCGACCACTACTATGCGAATATTGAGGCAAAAGTGGAATTTGGCTCTGGTGGAGAAGGGTTCTTTCAATCTTCAATGTATTACATAAACATGGTCCTTGATAATGCTAAAAAATACACAGGTGTTGTTTTTCCAAAAACAAAAAAGATCATTTCTCACAAATGCATTTTCAAATCAATTGTGTCCCTCAAGTTATGCAGACTTTAATAAATTTAAAGAATTTCAACAAAAACACAACTATCCAATATTATGCCATCGCCCTACAGGAACTTCTTCAATACCGGTCACACTCCTTCATCCAGCATTTGGCCAATTTGTCAGTGATTGCAAAAATCTCATTCCCACCTCAGATGATATTAAATTTGTTATAACTTTAAGTAAAAGAATGTCTTCCTTTTATGATAATGAAAATTTACGTGCGGAGGATTTTAGAACTTTAATTACAAAATACTGTGACCTAACCTTCGTGGCTTGTAAAATAGGCAGCAAAGGTTATGTGACAGATGGTTCTTTAGTTACAGGCGACCACTACTATGCGAATATTGAGGCAAAAGTGGAATTTGGCTCTGGTGGAGAAGGGTTCTTTCAATCTTCAATGTATTACATAAACATGGTCCTTGATAATGCTAAAAAATACACAGGTGTTGTTTTTCCATGCATTCATATTATCTTTGCAGGTAGGTTATTTGATATTATTCATGAAGAAATATTTCATAATAAACTCTTACAAATTTTTTTTCCCAGGTCCTATGTTTTGTTTTGCTGGTTCAGCAATCCCAAAGGAAGTTCATATGGACCAATTGACATTACCTATACCACTTTCTTACAATCCATATGAAAAAGATATCGAATTGGCTGCTGCAAGGACATTTGGTGCTTTTAAAAAAGCAGTACATTGTTTAAAGTCTTACTATGAGAATGAGTTGCAATATAGTATAAACCAAATCATTCGTAATCCTAAGTACCCATACAAATTCTATTATGGAAATAATGACACTAGAGTTGAATTTAATTACAAGTCTCAACTTGAGAGAAAACTAGTCTTTTTAGCTACAACTACAACAAATAGAGATATACGTGTTAAATTTGTCAAAAGATATTCAAAGGAGGCACATCTTTTATGTGCAAATATGGGGTATGCTCCTAAATTACATGCATGTGAGTCGCTTGCAGGAGGCTGGATAATGATTGTTACAGATTATGTAGACAAAAATACATACTGCAGTTATGTATTCAAAAATTCTAATTTTCCTCCACTTGAAGAAATCAAAAGTAAAACTTATGAAATTGTTAGTTATTTACATGAAAACAAAATTGTACATGGTGATTTAAGAAGAGGTAACTTGTTAGTCAGGATAGATGGAAAAAATGATGCATCCATATTATTAGCAAATTTTGATAGTGCAGGCGAGGAAGGAAGCATAAAATATCCATTTGATATTAATATTAAAACTATCCAAAGACCACCAAATGTTAAGGGGGGTGAATTAATAACAAAGCAGAATGATGTGGAGATGCTCGAAATCATGTGGGAGGATTTAATATCAGATAATAATAATTAATGATGGTCAATGGTAGTAGATAGTATTATTTAGATAAAAAAGTATAATTATATTGATATAAATTTTTTTCTGTCTTGTGATAATAATTTTAATAATTTATTTTTATTGCTGTTTTAATTTAAAATTAATTTGCTTTTTTTTTCAAGTCACATGAGAAAACGATAATAAAGTGAATATATAACAACTCTAAATTTTATCAAGCAAAATGTGCAGTACGTTTTCTATGTTCTTAATAACTTCAAAATTTGTTTTTAGTGCCAGTTTAACGGGTTGAAGATGTTTCCGGCAAGGCGTCTTCTCGACAAGACATTTTTTAATACATTCTATCAGTTTATCATAATTTTCCTGCCATGACCATATATCATGTTATTATCATTATCAAATATTAAGCAATGACATACTTAAATCAAAAAAGATAATTCACTAATTATTTGCAAAATATGTATGAATATACTTATTTTACCATTAAAACATTCCTATGTTTTTATTTTCTACTTAAATTTGCAAAAAACAAGGATGTTTTAAGTGCCTCCCAAATGTACTTAAATTACACTTGAAATAAACTTGAAACATACTTATTTCACATTTAAACACTACTCAAATTCTACTTAAATTAAGTATGTTTTAGGAGTATGATAAGTGTGTATAGGGATCTTTGTATTTTGCATTATTCCATGTAGCATTCTTGCAAAATGTGGATGGTGGAGGCATTTCTTCCACTTGTTTACAAATTCATTCAGCATCTCTATAGGTATGGGTTTCCTGTTTTGTTTTGTTCTCTTCGATGTTGGCCCTTCATCTGTCAAATAAGAACAAATTAATTAGGCAGTTAGTTATAAACAGTATACCAAATAAATAAATAAAAATGAAATAGAATGAGTGAAAAATAGTTTTTTGTATATTTATTCAATCCAAAATTTGCATTATGTGATATTTTTCTCTTTTAATTGTTTTAATTCTCGTTTTAATCTAATAATTTCTTTTTCCAGCATCTTTGTCTTTTTTTTCCGCTCCTAAAAAGAACGTGGAGAATAATCAATCTCTGCAAGATTGAATACTAAATATTAATTTATTGAATAAATACCTTCTCGTCATTTTCTTTATTTTCTTTGTTAGCACTAAGTAAATCAAAAAAAAGTTACATAACTAGAATCATCACCATCCCTGAAATCATTGGTAATACCAATGTTCACTTTGTCTTGTTTTGTTGCAGTATGCCCCATATATGGTAAAAAAAGCCTTGAATCAAAAAATTCAGTACATATTGAAATCCTTCAAAATCAATGATCTTCTTTGCTCTTTTTGCCCAAGCCTTTTAAATAACGAAGAGTATATTCGAACAAAACATCATTGTTCTACAAGTGATTTTTAATCACTCGCGTTATAACTAGTTTTTTCTATTTTAAATCAATTGAAAATACAATGTGGTACAGCATAAAAAAGATCATCATTCAATTTTATCACATGTGACTTCAATTGAATTTAGAATAGAAAAGGTCACGTGACTGAACACAAAAACTTGTTTAACCTGAGATGTATTTTTTTAATGTGTACAAACTGCTCACTAATTTGAAACATAAAAGACATTAAAAAATATATGAAACTTAAATTGATTATACTTTATTAAAAAAAAATTAATATCTTGTCGGGTTCCTCTACTTTCTAAAACAGCATCAACTCTTCATGGCATACTATCTATTAATTTATTAATTTTTTTTAATATTAATGATCTTCAAAATTGGAAAAAATCAATCCAGTATTTTTGTCCATAAATTGTATATTTTGCTTTCTATGTTCTCAGTATGTGTGTGAAAAATGATCAAATGATCAAGTTGCTTTTGAAGGGTTACATAGGTGCTATATTTCAAGCTTTAGTAATCAACATAAGTATATTGTAAGACATTCTAGGTTCAGAATCATGCATTTTTGTTTTTATAATATGTTTAAAATTTTACCAATACAAGCATTTCGGAAATAATCATTTCTTCATTTTAATTTAATGTAACAAATCATCATTAACCATTATCTTTTCTAGTCTATTATTATTATATAGGATTTTATATTTGAGACAACACCTTTTTATAAAGTTCCATGACCATGTATTAATGTTATACCTTCTTGTTCATCCTCTTTGATCACAACATCATTATTATTGACAAGAGATGGAGGGAAAGAAAAATGTGAGAAAGCTATCTATGATGGAAGATAAACTCTCACTTGTAAATATTATTATTTATTTTTTTTGTTATACAGTCCCCCAAAAAAAGTAATGACAGGGCATTTTTTTTAAAAAACTTTATTTTTAAAAAATTTAAAAGTAAAAGATTATATTTCCAAAAGATTAGAATATAGCAAATTTTCATTCAAATTTGAATGTAATTTTTTAGATAATTAATTTTACTAAGTACTGCTTTAATTCTTTTAAAAAATGACTAATTTTTAATAGCTTGACGAATATCAGTCATATTATAATAAAACAACCGTTGAAATATTCACCTAGTTAGGTTGAATTCAATAAAATTAAATTATTAAAAGTCAACCACTAGTTATTAGGAAAATAAACTTTAAAAGTTCTCAACAATCTTAAAGGTAAAGAAATATCTCTATATTAAAACTTTATGAGTTTCAAATTTTTAATAATAACCTTTTAACAAATTATTCACTACTGTTATTTTTATATTTTGGTTAAATAAAATAAATATTATTAGGATAACTTTTGCATAATAATCCCACCACCATTACTTTTTTGTGGGACTGTATAAACTTGATATATTAAATTTTGAAAAAATTATTTAAACACACATGCATATATGGGGCCTGATCAATAGAAACGAGGCATGTCAAAAAAATCATGTTTTGAGAAAATCAGCATAGCGGACATTTGAATTTGTCACATGTGACAAAATCGATTGGCGATCTTTTTTATATTGTGTGACCGTTCGAATTCAATTATTTAAAATAGAAAAAACATGTCATAAATAACATGATCAAAAATAGTTGTAAAACCCAAAAAATATTTTGCAATAATATACCTTTCGTTGGAAACTTTATTTTGGTTAAAAATAATCCTGTTAATCCCGCAAACTGCAAGATCTCATTATGAACCAAAGATTTCAAATTTTATATATAAATTTATCAAGGTGCACAAAAATTTTATTTTTTATTTTGAAAAAATATAAAAATATACATATAATATTTTTAATTATTGATTCTAATGCCTTTGTTTGTTATAGAGAGTGTTATAAGATGTTCATTATAAAGAAAAATTAATTAATTATAAAAAAAGAAAAGGGAAGCTTCATTATAGAGAGAAGTTAATTACAAAAAAATGAATCAGAGACAAAAGAGGAGTTCATTATAGAAAAAGTGAACTGTAGACATTATGTGATTTGTTGATTACATGAAGGTAGTTAATTGTTTAAATTTATGCATGCAAAAATATATATATTATCATTTTTTTTTATTTTTTTTTTATTCTTTTGATTCAATTATAAGACATATAATATATACTGAATACAATTTTTTTATTACTGTACACAGATGTTATATAATTTGTTAATTACATGAAAGGATTTCAAAAGTTAGTTGTTCTAAAAAATCTTTAAATTTATACATACATACATACATACATACATACATACATACATACATACATACATACACTTCCTGGTCATAAATATAAGGACACTTGCAGATCATCAGAAATAATTGAATAAAGAAACATGAAAAAAATAAAAATTTTATTAACCTAACCGCATTTGCTTATTAAGTAAAAATTCATCTTCATATCAAATAGTATAAC